GGTGAAGTGGATTTACATTTTATAGTTGTGGCTTCTATATCGAGACTGCAAATGACGATATTACGCTCTCTACCTGCGAACTTTTTTCCAACATATACAGTATTGAGAATGAGGTTGCTAGTGAAAAATAAATCCAATATATTTTGATTTCTGATTGGGTCGTCATTATGTTGAGTCCACCATCTAAGCTCTAAGCATTCAAATCGTTTAGCTGCTTTATTGGGAACCAAGAGGTTTCAGGCATGTTGAAGTCCCCACAAATAGCCTTGCCTGTAAACGGTGGGGATGAAGACAAAACTGAAAGCTTCTGACAAAATTGATAGATCTCCTGTTGGTGTGTTGGTCTGACATTAAACATAGCCATTAGTAAGGAAACTGCATTTTAGCGTTTCGGAACGATTCAAACTTGTTTAATTTCAACATGTGACAAAAGAGTCGGTTAAGTCTAGAGTGGGCATATATGAGGCATTCTCCACCTCATCCTTGCAACCCATCGCTTCGAATGCCAAGTGTTGCTCAGTAAACCCATATCGCTAACGTGCTTGGGCATCCGACTAATGTTCCTAGACAGCACCCTAACCGAAATACCTTCTACAATTCTTGAGTTCCTCCTCCAAAACATGGACCTAACCCTTTTTAACAGTGATCCTCTCAGCAGAGTTGTTTCGCTATCTCCAACCTATGATCGCCATGAACCACCTCATCTATCATTCTAAGTAATGGTTGGTTAATAGTCGCAAACATGACTAACTCTGTCTTTTTATTACGGATGGAACGAGCATCAATAAGACACATATCAAACAGATGTTTTGCTTTAATAAAGGAGTTACTGAGACCAACATGGGTGTGGTATGAAGCATCAGAAGGGGGCATGTTAAATAAGTTACTGAAACTTCCAAGAGGGGTTGTTAGCCTGGTGTAAAGGGTGAGAACGTTGCCTGGGGAGATTTTTTGAGGGGAGTTCTTTTATGTTCTGCTACTTGGAATAAGTGAAACACCTACGATATAGACTAGCTTCAGGAGAGATACTACAGCCGTGAAGAAGAAATTGCCCCTCACACACGAACAGTTGCACTGATGCTACCCGAAGAAGTACAAAAAGCACTCATAGGATAGGAATCTCATCGAGGTTGATCATTCAACAGAAAGAAGGTGATTATAATGACTATCTTCCGGTGCTATGCACTACTCACGATGACAATTAGGATGATCAGTATGGTGGGAGGCTGTAATGAATCATAAAGAAATGAAGGGACAAAGCAATTGATCATTATGATAATAGATCTAAACGACAAAGTCTGAGTAGAAAATGCTGGATATAATGACTTCATCGAATTACCTGGAATGAAAGAAAGGAACGAAAACAGTGAGAGATTCGCAAATCTACGTGCCTTCACTTAATTGGCAATAGGCGGTTCTATATTCATATACAAATGCGTACACAAAGAGACATATTTCACCAGATGTCACTAAAAAGAACCGACTTTGCAGCATATACATCAATAAATAGTTCAGAAGGGCGGAGAAGAAGTCGATAACAAAGAGTAAAGCTTCAGATTATAATTTCATTGTGGCAAAGATTAAACTGAAACAAGAAATATTGAAAGTTGAGCAACCACATAAGTGCAATAAGGCCTTTCTCCAGTACACGGGATAACTCAATGAATTCAAGATAGATCTCAGTAATAATTACAAAGCCTTGAGTGAGGAAGGAACTGTCATTGAGAAAAACTGAGACTGCTGGCCGGAAACCCGAGAAGTTGTGACAGTATTAGCTCCATAGTCATGAAACAGCGTGCAGAAGCCTCCAGTCCACCGGGCATTTACTACAGTCACAACAACTCCCAGGTGAATGGAAACTAGCTGCTCTCTATCTAGTCTTAAAAGAAGGAGATAGGAAGGAACAAGACTGCTTCAAACCAGTCGCATTACTACCAATACTAGCAAAGTTAATAGAAAGGCTGGTGAATGACCAGTTGCGAGGATAAGAACGAAATCCTCAATGAAGCTGAACACGGGTTTCGGAAATGTAGGTCATGCGCATCCAATCTTTTCATATCATGGGACGGCTGAACAACCTGCTGCGACCTAAAAATACTCGTGCACATAATCCTTCATCACTTTGAAAAAGCTTTCGAAACTGTACCCTAATCGCAAAGGTTGCGGAAATTGGCTTCACTGAACCACTCCTATCTTGACTCAGTTTCGTACCAAGGTAAGTAGAGCGCACACAAGTTTGCGAGTCCCATTTTCGAGAAATGCACAGGAAACCATCCTAAGTCCACTTCTGTTCCTGATATTCGTTAATGAGCTGTTAGACAATGTAAGCTCAGCAGCACTGATCGTCACAGACAGTGCAAAGATCTGGAAGTCCATAAGAAGTGAAGAGGATTCGATTGAGCTTCAAAGAGACCTTACACCTATTGAGGAATCGGCAGTGAAAAGCGATTTAACACTAGACCAGCCGAATTGTCACGTCAAGTACATTTTGACCCACATGAAGCAAACGACTTACACCCTCAACGAAAATTCGCTCCCTTATGTCTCCTCAGAGTACGATCTCAGTTGAATAACCACTGGAATTCTCTACACCAGCTCGAACTACATGGTGGACGCAGCAGTAAACAACAGTGTCTGTGCATTACTACTCCTACGCAGGACGTTACTAAATATCTGAAAGTAAAAACCAGAACTCCTGAGAATAAGGACACGCCCACCTGAAATACCTCCCTAAACACTGACCTCAGTCGCTCCCCTATTTTTAAATGAACGCTTATTATCCCCTTGATATACAATTTCTTGGGCAGAAAACTTTTAATGCTCCTTGAGCAACCGCCTAATGGTCCAAGACACCACCCGAAACGAAATGCCTCCTACATTTCTTGGGTCCCGCCTCCAAAACATGTGCCCAACTCTTTTTTACCAGTCGTTCCATCAACACAGTTGTTTTATTATGTCCAGCAGTTCAGGGCCATATTCTCACCTCCTTCAAGTCATCATCTACAGGCTGTGGTGTAGTGGACGACAATTACTCTTCGCCGCTATCAGCTCCTTCTATTTGTAATACTCACATGTCTGGTCCTTTAGATTGACCACCTCACACATCGATCACCGACTTGACTTACCACACTCCACCTAATCCAATGGATCTACGAAACGATCCATCCTTATCCTCTTTAGTGGCTTGCTGATCGATGCACCTAGATCATACCTCTAGACCCTTATAAACTCTTTTGCCATGACCGAAACTGTAAAAAGTGTAGTGGTTGTCTCATCTATGTATCTAGAAACATCAAGGCAGAAATGTCTGGTGATAGTGTTATTAATAAAGTGCCTGATTCGATATGTCTCACTGTGCACTACCATGGATGTAAAATACCCATTGAATGCATATATCGAGCTCCAAACACCAACTGATCGATTGAAACTGCTATTGGTTAGTCGTTTGCCAGGGATGCCTCTCTTAAATTCGCTTGCAAAATTAATTTTGGTGATTTCAACTGGCAACCCTTTGAATGCATACTTAGTTTCTTGGTTTCACATGGTTGTTAACAACATGTGCGCCTGCCCACTAGAAACCACAACCCTCTCGATTCGTTATTTTGTCACGATGACACACCAACATCTGTGGTAGTCTGCAAAAAGTTCCTCAACAGTGACTCTGCATTCTACCATTTCTTGCTAAAACGATTAAGTGTATTTTCTACAGAGACTGTGAATACGCTGATTGGGACAGCTTCCGGTTTCCAATTCGGCACTCCGACTGTACTGCGTTCTTCACTAGTCTTGAACTCTCTGAAGCATTATATACATTCAGCATCACCATTAAATCTGCACTAAGCACTAGTATCCCCTCCAAAACGTCTTTCAAAACAATGACTCCTTATATCATTCAAAAAGCCAGGGTTAAGCTAAACTAGAATGGGCATATTGCAAATCTAAGGACTTAAGCATTCTGTACCATATCTGTACCTGAAAGTGAGAAAATCAACATGAAGGGCGTTAGCAAATGGAAGAAAATAATTCACTCGCCACTGCATCTAATTCACGGAACCTCTGTCATTTGCTCAACTGACGCATAAAAAAGAACTGAGATCACAACATTCATTCTATGCTGTTTGATCGACAGACTTATTATGCTAAAACTGTCATTTGATAACTGTCTAGTACGTCGTTTTCCGGCAATCAGAACACATCGCCTACCTCTGTAGCAGTAAGGATAATCTCAGTCCCATCAACTTTGATTTTAGCAATATTCAAGCTGCCATTAACATCCTGAAACACAGTGGCAGCTGAGGTGCGGATGAGACACAATCCATACTCTTGAAAGTGACAGGACCAAACATTCTGGCACTTTTGCTTAAAATATTTACATTATCCCTCGAGGCTAGTACATAACCCGAAACCTGGAAATTAACTCACATTGCCCCTATAAAATAATCTGGACTGAAAGATTTAATCCAAAACTACAGACCGAGTAATAGCACCCTAGTTGTCTTATGTGTATTGTGGAAAGTGATAGAAGATCAACTATCTGCTCACTTACTCAGGTAAGGTCTCATTGAACCCTCACAACATGTCTTGCAACATCAATGGAAGTTTGCTCCCTAAACTCCGGCATCTGGGAATAGTCCTCCTGAGATATAGGAGAATCAGAAGATACCTGATAATGGCGTACAACATATAAAGCACACCGAATCATCTGAACGTGATCATCTTACCGGAGCATCACCACTCCCATCGAGGTAATCCTCGAAAGTTGTGTCTCAAAGAGACAACAATCTGGTTCGTGAACACTTCTCCAGAACAGAAAAAGAATCGAGAGTAAAAAATCAATGTTTTTATACTAGCTCTGGGTAAAGATATTGAAAATCTTATTTACTATTATTTCTTTGTTTTACTTTACCAATTAAGTGAACTTGTACTGGAGATAATTTGGTATGAGTATATCTTGTCGCATTTTCGAATTGCTAGCATACTTTTGCTGTTTTCTACAAAACATGTCCTCTGTCCTCAAGTCTTTGATGAAACCGTTAGCTCCACCAAATTCAGAGTCTCCGCCGCGTAGTAAAGTAACTTTCGTAGGTGTTGGAATGGTCGGAATGGCAGCAGCATTCTCCACCATGCAAGTAGCTGGAGAAATCGCATTGGTTGATGTTCTGGCTGATAAGGTTAACGGTGAGGTACTGGATCTACAACATGGCCAACAGTTTGTGAGCAGGTGCAAGGTTGATGGAGGCACTGACTATAAATTCTCTAGAAATTCAAATATTGTCGTTATTAGTGCCGGTGCAAGACAAAAAGAAGGTGAATCACGATTGGACTTGGTTCAGCGTAATGTGGACATATTCAAAGGGATAATCCCAAATGTTGTCAAACACAGTCCGAACTGTATTATAGTTGTTGTGTCGAACCCTGTCGATATCTTGACATACGTCGCTCGAAAATTGAGTGGATTTCCGGCTCACAGAGTAATCGGAACTGGTACAATGCTAGACTCGGCAAGATTTCGTTTTCTGCTCGGTGAGAAATTACAGGTGTCTGCTAATTCTGTCCATGGATATGTAATTGGTGAACACGGGGACTCCAGTGTAGCTGTTTGGAGTAATGTCAATGTTGGCGGAGTTCGACTGTCTTCTCTGAATCCGAAGATAGGATACGAAAAGGATCCTGACGATTTCGGAGAAATACACAAGCAAGTTGTTCAGAGTGCCTACGACATCATCCGCCTGAAAGGTTATACCTCGTGGGCAATCGGGTTGACTTGTCGATCACTATGCAACGCTCTGTTAAATAACCTTCATACAGTTTATCCACTCTCCGTTCCTGTCAAAGGATATTTGGGAATCGAAGAAGATGTTTACTTGAGTTTACCATGCCTTGTTACTTCGGTTGGAATCAGCCATGTGATTCTTCCGGAACTTAGTCCGGATGAATTATGTAAACTAAAGAAGAGTGCAGCCACTCTAAATGAAGTAATAAAAGGAATCAAGTGGTGAAACTAGATGCAGCTGAGATGGAAGTGCAGTGATTTTTATAAACTGCCATTTATTAGTCTCTTAAATTCGGTTTTGGACGTCACCTGTTTTCAAAATACACTAAGTGAAGTAATAATGGGTATCGCGTGATAAAAACATACAATATCATTTATTATTGTTAGATGTTTCCATATTCAAAAGAATATCTCGTTTTTACAACTGCTTAATTTATTTTTCAATTAGTAATTTTAATATTTTGAACTTCATATTTTCTATCACTTTAATTTATTTGTTAGAATTATAATCAGGGAATGGTTAATAAATATTTCAATTAGATACATAGATATCTACTGTCTTTCCTGTTCGTTGCCACAGTATACAATGTAGGGTGCGATGGATTTCTCAGCCGTCCGTTAAGTCTTGTTTATGGTTGATTTACATTTTGATCCTCTTGCAAGCCAAGCTTTTGAAGAAGTCACATTATCGGTTGTACGAACTGTCTTTAAGATCCTTGCAGTACTGAATCGCAATACCTCTAATTTGAGGATTGATGACTTGAATAGTCGTATGAATGCTTTTGACACAATGGCATGTTCATTGATTTGCAGAGCTATTCGATGTACTACTCAATGCGATGGTTTGGAGAACCCTATTTCTCACTAGTCCAGCGAACTGTTATTGTGCACATTAAAGGTATCTTTGTAATAAAGGTAGGGCTATGTAAAGTAATTCTCATAATATTTAAAGTAAGTTTTAGTTACTTGTCAGCGTTACGTTTGGGTCTTGTATTTAAACACCGTGTTGTTGAAGGTTGTAAGATCAAAATCGATCGGTACGGAATTCTTAGGTGGATTACAGAGCCATGGGTCTGTTAGTTCGCTAGAAGTCTATAGTGTCCTATTCACGTTGAACCCAACTTTGCTTGATATAAATTTGAGAGTGATATGGAAGACTTAATAAGAGATAAACGAGAAATAACAAAAGAATTGAAGATCTATATATTCTAGATCGGTAGGATGGAACATTATTAGCGCATATCTTAATTATGAATAAATAGTAAAGAATCATTAAGGACCGTGATAACTGAAATGATTGTGGAGTTCATTTCCTACTTTTTAAGTGTAATTCGTGATATTACCATGTACATTGGAATTTTTCTCACGACCATGGGATATTCTCGATGTTTGGTTATTTACATCATTTATCGTTAGTTCATAATTGTCTGCCGACTTAAATAAGTTATAGTCATAAAAAATGTAACTGACAAAACATGACGTACGCAATTACTTTACGTTATTTAGAGTTTTGTAAATGTTCTATATTATGACGTAGGAATGCAAAATATTGTATTTTCCTGGCTATTCCGAATGGTAAAATTTTAATGGGAAGGGACTGTTACTCGCAAAAATCGATGTTGTCCTTATATTTAATGAGCCTACAACCATAGTATGAGAAATTTGCATGTCGCAAAAGTACATCTCACAACATTATTATTATTATTATTAGTATTGGCTTCATTCAGTATTATAAGTTCTACCGTAAGATATACAAGGAGACCTATGTGAATGAAGTAGATGGTTGTTATCAGGAGTTCGCAAGTTTTCAAATATCTATCCACAACCATATTCAATGTGGCCTCAGAATATTTACCTGACACCCAACTAACTGCCTTCAGAGCTCTCTCCAACAGTAATATATCTTTCCTCAAAAACGCAGGAGATAGTAACGGGAAACAGTAGAAAATAGTAGGTAGTGTACAAGCGTTTAAAAATCGTAAAAATAGATATTGAGTAACGCCAAAGTATGTAGCCACTTTATATAACAGGTCATTAGAAATTTCTTCGAAATCAATTAGAAGAAAAAAATACACCATAATGAATGACGTGCGGAATTCTCATTATCACAGAATCTTTAAAAATATGGACTTTGAGTGCCGTTCATGTTTTAGTATTAAGTTTGGCCCATCAAAAAGGATTTGACGAGGTGGAAATAGACGTTGAAACAGCGAGATTATGCGCACATGGAAAAGATTTCTGTAAACGGAAAAAAAGAAAATGGTTAAGAACATTTTGTGGCACGTTTTCTTTATTCGTTGGGGAAACAGAACAATGTTTTGAAAGCGCAGTGTACTCTTCTTTTCCGGAGAGGTAGGAATACAGCTTGTTAGATGTTTAGCTGTTGGTGCTGACGGTGGCAAAATTTTTTAATAGTAATGGCCTTGATATGGAGTCCAAAGCAGATGTACAGTCTAAAAATCCTTATCCGACGTACTACCTACTCTTTTCCAAACTAAACACTACATTTTGTTGCAGAATAACAACAGCATATAAGGTGTTGCTCTTTCATTTATAAGCAAACTGATGAGTCAAGCACCCTTGATATAAGCCACTTAGTTGTATAAAATCAACAGGAGATTTCGTATTTTAATGTTTAATGGCAGTTCACAAAATCTTGTTTCATGCAAAGCGAAATAGAATACTTGAATTTTGTAAACGGTTGTATCGCTCTACTTACGGTGGAGTCCAAACGTCTAAAGTTCTAGAGAGTTGATCTAATTTGCAGAAATACGCTACTGTCGTCTTAAGCAACTTAGAAACACCAATATTCCCTTATTTTACTTAGATATATTGGTTACAAGAAACGAAAATTCTGATGCTAAAAACGGTTTCACTTATCAATGTTCTTGATTTGTTTTGAGACAACGTAAATCTACCAGGAGGTCCCTACTGTCTCTTAAAAGTGTCAGATGTAGGTAATCTAGTCCTGATGTTTCATGGATTTCCTTGCTGACCTCCATCTCGTTAATCGGATCAATCATCACCAGCCACAGAAGACAAAATAGTTTACTATATGTTGTCTTTGCAATGAACCAGCTGGACCGTTCCTCCAAAATCTTTGTCCATCGTCTCAGTGGTCGGTAGATGCTACTGACTGGTACCACATCAGGTTCGCAGATTGTTGTATTCACACGAGGCTTATTTGTGGCGTTGGTCCGGATGAAATAATAGATCTGCCAGAAGTTACTGGATGCCGTTGCTGCTTTCAACTCATCAGCAATGTCCGGTCATCAGGCTTCTCGATCCGTGTGCAAATTTTGCACGACTTCGTTATCTGAGAATCTACGTTTACGATCAAACTCTCGGTTAGCTGGAGTAGAAAAACGTACCTCCATGAGATGTAATGGGCTTGTAGAAACCCAGTGCTCATAAGAAAATGTTTCTCGAAGCCGCAAATGACTGTACTCGCCATTTTCAAAGCGTCATGGAAATTCACCGTTTGCTCATACATATTTTTCGGTTGGTTGATTGATTGCATCCAGTGTGCAATTTGTCAAGCTATTGTTGGAAATAACAAGAAGGCATCGTTTATCATACCGCTTTCTTCTCACTTTGATGCGAAAAGGTAATGAAGCAGCAGGTAATCGGTTTTTAACGGCTGGTGCTCACCCATCTCCAAACCTCATTGCGACATCAGCTCCAGCGAAGCCAGACGAAGTTGTTAGAGTCCTGGGATAAGAGCAATACAAACAAACGTTTATTAGTGGTAGATGGGGAACGGAATCATAGCATTCGAATACGGATATTGGTTATAAAACAGACACCGATTTTACGACTTTTTAGGGACACACGCAAACCTATTCGTTGTCAAATCTGCATTATTAAGTGAAAGGTTCAATTTGAATGGCTTACTTGGTTTCAAACGGGCTGGCTCATAATTCGTTTTTGATGCTAGCATTCGACTTTTGACCAGTCATTTACTTAAGATCATTTAGATAGGACACGACTTTTACATTAGGCGAGCTGATATATGAGTTACAAAATAAAGGAACATACAAAATAGGAATAAAAGAGAACAGACAAATGATCTGATGTAGAACAGAAACGAATGTTACTGAATAGTTATAGGTATAATTTATGAGAATGAGAATTGTTGTAAGATTAATCTCTTTTGGTAGTAGTTTCAATTGAATTTATATGAAGGGTGGGACACTGCCGGAGTGCCGAAACCAAAGCTTATATTTCCTTTAGAGGCCACAGTTCAAGCTTTTGAAAAGTAAGTGGAATCATGTGCATCATCAAAATCATTTGCTGCCTTCTTTGGCCGTAAATTAGACCATCATATTTACAATAAATTAAAGACGTTTACTAGAAAGCCGTAAAATATATCTCTCGTTTGATAAATACCAATGACTAAAAAATAAGAACGGAAACACCAAGCAAATATAATTAGGTTTTAAGAGATCTCAATGATTTATCAACCATTTTGATCAAATTAGTCACACAAGTCGATTATCACAGATTGTTTAGTGTAGCGGAGGAAAATTCAATCGATCATCTTCATCAGATAAAAAACGTGTTGAAGATTATAAAACCATATCTCCATGTACTGTTAAGGATGAAGGAATCTAAGCGAAACTAAATTTACGTTTCACCCCTCCGCAAAATCATTGTGATGATTCGCATCCGTAGCATTGCTCACAGTTAGATTTTCGCATGTATGAACTTCATCATATACTGCACATTAAACTTATCATCTTGCCTTTAGTTCGTTATTAATGATAATGATGGAAATTATCAGTTGCTTCCAGATTTATATCATTAACCTACGGTGTGGATGAGCTCACAACACTATGACTCTAAGGTATCGTTGGTTGGTAGATGGATTCTAAACGCATAAACTATTAGGATCACTTTTCGTTACTGGCATACATGTCATCGCCAATGCAATTAATAATACAATGATCGACAGCCAGAACAATAAATCTCACTCCGATCATTTTTATTACAGTGGGAAAAAGTTCAAATGGGAAAACAAAATTCTGCCATAAACTAAATAACCATGTTTTTACAAATACAACATTTTCACTATCAAAAGACAAAAGTGTTCAATTCAATTTCGATTAAAAAGTTTAATATTTCATTATGATCAAATAAAAAAATGTTTTTAACACGTACTTGTCTAATTGACGTTGATTAACTGAATTAGCTTGAACACCTAAGTTTGGTCTGACTAATGGCTGTCTTCAACCAGATATGATTATACTTTCTAGATTGTCATTGCAAGCGTTACTTCACTGACTTGACTTGCAATAATTAACCGGAAACAACTTCACTACAGACATATTTCATGAAATATATGTTAATTGATAAACTATAGATAACCCGAAAATAATCGACTTACTTTAAGAATGATCAACAAATCAAAATATC